ATGCATGTAACTCGGGTAGAGTGAGGGTTTACGGCAGTCATTGGCCACCCTGCAATATTTCCAGCGGTGTGAGGAATGGTTAGCCGTTATCTTCGTTATTGACGAAGCCATGGACAGAGCGTTCGCCGAGCACAACTTAGGTGTGGAGCTGCTCTCAGGTGAACGACTTCTCGACTTACAGTATGCTAACGACATTGCGCTCATCTGTGACAGCTAACAAACGTACGAAGTTGTGCTAGATAAATTAGCTCTGATTGTCAGTCGTTTCGGGCTATGCTTTGCACCCAAGTAATGCAAAGTTATACTCCAAGAATGGCAGGGACCTACTCCTGCGTTAACTCTTAGCGGCGATCATTTAGAATTCGTAGAGAAATTTAAGTAACGGCAGCTATATCAGCGACAGTGGAACGGACCGAATAGCTCGATGTGCTTCTGCCAATCTCCGCCATCTGTGGCGTCGGTGTGATAGTACTCCCGCGCTGAAGAACAGCGTTTATAATACAGCCATCCGTACAACCCTCATGTACGGTTGCGAAATCTAACCCATCAAGTCGACAGACACAAAAAGGCTACACATGTTTGATCATCGTGGTCTTCACAGCTTAATTCATGTCTGGTTGGGGCACTGCGTAAACAATGTGTGTTGGGCGCCGCGTATTTAGTGAAGGAAGAGTGAGTGAACCCCACGGCACCGTCATAGCACGCACCGGGCTCCGATAGTTGGGTCACGTGTTGCGCATGCCGACCCACCGACTCCCGCAAGATGCGCTGTTTGCGCGCCGAGGGTGTGGATAGAGAAAGAGGTAGGGAGGTCAAGCGATGATTTGGTCAAGAGGAATGAAGGTCCTCCGTTCGAAGTGGGCCTCGGTTGGAGCCTTTCTGCTCCCTGGTTCGGGGCTGAAAGACGATGAACACGTTTAGCTGGATGTACTTTTGACATGGTTAGGAGCCCACCTTAATGGCATTTGCGTTGTGAGTTTCTTCGTCCCTCACCCTCCCGTTTAGCCTCCCCTCCAACCATGATCTTATTTATTAGGCATAATATTACTCCCTTTTGCGGCAAAACAGCCGGCTGTTATCTCTCCGGTAGGATATTCATCCGTTACTGGCGACAGCCGGCGTGCCTGTTTCCTTTTCTTTTGTATCGCGGCACAATAGCTTGGGTGTTTTGCATCTGCAGCTATGGTGTATAATAATACAATGTACAGACTTAGTATTAGATGCGAACTAGGAGGAGCTATCGCGCTGACAAGGAAGCCTGGTGGACGAGTCGGGTTCAAGAAATGGAGGAGGCAGGAACAGTAGGCAATTATCGCAAGCTCTTTCAGCTGATCCGCACCACTGGTCCCAGTAAACCAGGCGTCAGTGAGATAATCAAAGACAGCGCATTTACAAGATCAGTTAAATTGGTCCACTGCTTCCGGACCTCCTCCTACTTGGGTGATACAAGATGAGGTATGGACGGTTAGTTTAAAGACTGCTTCAGAAACTGAGGTCCGGAACGCGATCACTGCCTTCAACTGTTTTCGTGCTTCTGACCTGGATTCCCTCCCAATCACACTATTTAAGGATGGAAGTGAGGTCCTTTACAAAGCGATGATCTTGTTTGAAGATGTTTGGAAGGAGGAGACTATCCCGGCTAACTGGAGTGAATCGATTATAGTGGCAATATACAGAAAGGGCAGTCGCACCGAATGTGCTAACGACAGGGTGGCCTAACGCCAGTTCTGACAAAAGTACTGATCTCGACTCTAGTTTGTCGCGTCACTGTGGAACGGGAATCCCGGATTAGGGAAGGGCAGACAGGTTTCCGCTCAGGATGGGGCTGTAAAGACCATATATTCACTCTGCGACAGGTGCTACAACAGCGCCAAGCATACCGCAGACCAAAAATAGCTGCTTTCTTGGACTTCAAAAGTGTGCTCGATTCAGTCGATAGATGTAGTCTGTTCGAAATGCTTGCGCGGAAAGGTGTTCCCATGAAATATGTGAACAACTTACGTGTTCTAAAATCGAACATTATAGGCCGCGTTAGGGTTTACGTTGACTTGTCGGATGACTTTCCGACAACAAGTGACGTTCGTTAGGGTTGTCCAATTTCCATTTTTGTTCAATTCTGTAGCGGACCCCATCATGGAGTGTGGCAGCGCCTCCAAACTCGGTTGTGCTTTTTGATTCCTGTCCACCGGATTTATCAACAAATACCCTAACATTCACTATTTTAGCGCCCCTTTGTTTTAATTCATCAGTTTTTTATTGCGCGAATCGCATCATGGTTAACGATGCTCGCGACATGTTAAAAAATCTACGCGTTTTCACGAACGTAAACCTAGCACTTTTTCCTGGTCAGTCTGTATGGAAGAAATGAAAAATAATCGGCAGGAAACGAACTAGTTCCACAAGCAAGCAACGCGCAGGATGGAGAGTTGCACTTAGAAGGAAAAAGCGTAGCCATATGAGTATACCTATTTTGATCAGTGCCAAGATCCGTTCGCTTGTGAGCAAATTAGAAGAGCTTAAAAGTATAACAAGCTGTCGCGAATACTCTCAAGTTTGTGTCATTATGTTACAACAAACTTGGCTGAACGACGAAGTAAAAGATACATTTGTGCCACTTGACGGATTTGCCGTGCATCGCGTTGATCGCCCATGTACACACAGGAACCGTAGCGGTGGCGTTATCACATACATAAATTCTTCACGATGCACACTGATAGAAAGTATTTTTCGCCATTACACGCAGCGCATTAGTCGTGTAATTGTAAAATTCAAGCCTCAATATTTGAGCGTCTATTGTCCGATCCTAGTAGCTAACATTTACACTTCTCCCAGCTGCCCTAGAGCTGAGACTGAGAAGTTTTAGGACGATTTAACAACCACCGTCATTGAACATCTAAAGTTTTCTTTATATGTTTGCCAGTGACTTCAATAGATACGATACTAGTTTTATTACCAACCTTGGACTGAAGAACACCGTACAGTCTGCAACAAGGTTACTAGCAACCTTATACTTATTGTTTGTCAATGACAAAAACTTTTTCTGTTTGTACCAAGGCCCCACTTGGTGGCTCAGATCATGTCACCATAAAGTTATCTCCTACAACCTGTGGTAAAACGAGTAACAAAAATATCAGCAGCTGCAAAGATCGCAAGTTAACGCAAAGACAATGTCTTCCTCGAAGCATTAAGCTACTACACGAAACTGTTGCCTCTACAGACTTCAATAGATTCTATAACTCTGACGTATCGAAGTATTGTGATCATTTAACTAGCTACTTGAACTTTTGTTTCGATAGTTGCTGTCCTATAGAAACCATTTTCATTCACCCAGACAGGTTTTTTTGACAATGTTTTAAAATACTGCGCAGACTCAAAGAAAAAACTTACAAGCGCAAATACGGTGCTTCAGTAAAGTCCATATCGATTGATATAAAAAATGAAATTTGCCGCCAAAACCATATTTATGTCCAAACTATACTTGGAAAGAATAATTGCCGAGAAATATGGAAAACGATGAAGAACCTGAGTGGAGTTGTCAAAAGTGTCACACACACACACACACACTGCTCTCGAGGGATTAAACCGCAATTTCTGTGGTCACATAGTTGATTCAGCATTGTATCTTTACCGCTGTAACTCTCCCCACAACCTGCAAGCATAGCATAGCAGTTCACAAGAGGTTAACACGGATACAGTGGTGCAACGTGTACGATGCAGAAGGACCATTTCCAAGATATATATATATATATATATATATATATATATATATATATATATATATATATATATATATATATAATACACAATCTGTGATACAGATATTGTGCCATCGGAATCATGGCTGAAGAGGAAAACAATATGAATAATAAGAAAAGAGCAACAACAAATGCTTTTTTTGTCTATTTTACCACTCACAGTTTTTGAAAAAAATTTTCAGTTTGTTCTTTTTTTAGGGGGAGGAAGAAGGGACACCGCAACAAACCGATGCACACGTCCGCCATTGACATCGATCGTGAGCCATAACTTCCAAGGTCTTCAACCAGCAAGTATCCTCATCTCTCGGACCACAACCAGGTATTCCACAATAACCGACCGAGGCCAATTGTTTCGTCAACTTTTTCATGCGGCTTCTCCACGTTGTAGGCTGTCCACCAGATCGTCTCTTCCAGCCCTGTCCAGCAAGTGCAAACAACGCACGATGGGGATAACGCTAGACAGGCATGCGCAGTACGTGTCCCAACCATCGCAGTTGATGCAGTGAGATGAGATCCTCGAGCGAGTGGCTTCCACGTCCCAAGACATGCTGTCTAACTTCCACATTGCTTATGTGGTGCTGCCACCACACACGGGCAATGGACCGCAGACAGCGGTGCTCGAAGACGGATAGCCTGCGCAAGTCATCTTTACGAATGGGCCCGGTCTCGCATCCGTACAACAGTACAGCACGAACAGTTGAACAATAGACCCGCCCTTTGATGGAGAGACGAATGTCGTGGCGACGCCACAAATGCCTCAGCCTAGAAAAAGCGAGGCCTGCTCTCGAGATACGCATCGAAATCTCGTCTCCAACAGAAGCGCCAGCAGTGATGCAACTTCCCAAGTAGACAAAGCTCTCCACAACCTCTAGTGTCTCACCAGCAAGCGTGAGTGCAGGCAGAGGCACCTGCCAGTCTTGAAGGAGAGCCTTACATTTGGATGACGAAAAGTACATCATCATCATTCATCATTATACACATCAGCTAGAGATGGGAAAAACACCTCCGCTATTGTGCCGCAATACATGAAGGAAATACATACATACATACAATACAATACACAAAGGAGAAGTAGATACAACAGTTGCATGCCAGCTGAGCTACCAGCAACGGATAGGCATCGTTCCGGTAAGCTTCCAGCTAGCTACTAGGCAAAAAGAAAAAAATATTATGTTTTACCCTAGGAAATGAGATCGTAGATGGATGGGGAGGCTAAAAGGGATGGGGAGGGACAAAGAAACTCACAGCATGAACGCCACTGAGGTCGGCTCCTTGCCATGTCAGCAAGTGTATCCAGCCAAACGTGTTCACCGTCTTTTGGACCCCAACCAGGGAGCCGTGAAGCTCCAACCGAGGCTAGCTCCGAGGTGAGGGACTTCATTCCCCTGGACCAAGTCATCGCTTGGCCACCTCTCCTCTTCTTCCACCCACATCCCCGGTGAGCAAACAACGCACGTCGAGGGAGTCGGTGGGCTGGCATGCGAAACACGTGGCCGAGCCATCGGAGCCTGGTGCGGGAAATAACGGTGCTGAGCGGTTCAGATCCTTTTCCTGGGCCGTAAACAATGCGTCGAACACGCTCGTTACTCACGCGGTGTTCCCACCAGATGTGAGCCAAACTGCGAAGGCACCGATGGTCGAACGTAACTACCCTCTTCATGTCCGCCGATCTTATGGGCCAGGTTTCGCAACCGTACAGTAAGGTCGAACGTACCGCTGCATTGTACACTCTACCCTTCAGGGCGAGAGTGATGTCGCGCCGCCGCCAAAGGTGGCGAAGGTTAGCAAAAGCACTTCGAGCTTTCGCTATACGGTTCGTGATCTCGTCTTCGATCCCAAGGGCGCTGATACAACTTCCCAGGTAATTGAATTTCAGAACGACTTCTAGCTGATCCCCACCAAGGGTCAGCGCAGGAGGCGATCCCTGCCAATCTTGGAGGGAGCGCTTTGCACTTCGATGGTGCAAAGCAAAGCCCGAAGCGGCTGACAGCCAGTGCTAATCTGTCTAGCGCGGCTTGGCACGTCTGGGAGCTGTCACAGATGAGGGCAATGTCGTCAGCATACTCCAAGTCAAGAAGTCGTTCTCCTGGGAGTAGCTCCACACCTTCCAAGTCATGTCCTGTAAATGCAAACTCCATGACTTCGTCAATAGCGAAGTTGAAGAGGAAAGGTGACAGCGGGCATCCTTGTCTCACACCGCTGGAGATATTAAAGGGTGGCGACAGCTTGCCGTAAGCCCTCACTCTGCCCGTGCTACGCGCATATAATGCTTGGATAATATTTACATATTTCTCGGGCACACCTTTCCTGAGTAGACAATTCCAAAGGGCACATCGATCAACCGAATCGAAGGCACCTTTGATGTCGAGGAACACGACTACGGTGGGCCGCCAATATGTGTGGCGGTGCTCCAACAACTGACGCAAAGTGAAGATGTGGTCAATGCAGCCACGACCACGACGAAACCCGGCTTGCTCTTCACGAATCTGGCTTTCACGAGCGCCAGTCAGTCTGTGAAGAATTATGGAGGCGAGTAATTTGGAGGCGATGGAGATCAGACTGATTCCTCTATGGTTGCCGCATTCCGAGCGCGAGCCGCCTTTGAAGATGGGAACAATAACGGAGCGGCTCCAGTCGGTTGGGACAGTCTCCTGCTCCCACAGTTTCACTAGTAATTCATGCAAAGCATCCACAAGAGCAGAGCCTCCGAATTTGAAGAGGGCTGGAGGAAGATCATCTGGTCCCGCGGCTTTGTTCAACTTCAACAGTCCGATCTCACGTTCGACTTCTGAGCGAGAGGGTGGATCCAAAGGGACAGCCCACGGAGCAGGGCGATCAGTGACCGGCGAATCGAACAATTTTAGCCGATTAAATTGCTTTTCAAAATGCTCAGCCCAACGCTCCAAACGTTTTGACAAATTGTGGATAGGCTGTCCACTCTCATCACAAATTGTTTCACTAACACCAGGTCTCCTGCTGCCCGTTTCCCGTATCAGACGGAATAACTTACGATGGTTGCCAAGGGCAGCGGCCACTTCCATCTCTGACGCACGATGAGACCACCAAGATTCGCGGTCTCTCTTCAGGCTAGCACGGAGTTTTGCCCGGAGCTCTTTGCGAGTTTCATTGTGTTCGCTTCCAGCCGGGATATGCCGGCGAGCGTCGATAAGTTTCAGAGACCGAGAAGAGACCCAATGTCCATGTGGGCTTTTAGACATACCACATGAGGATTTGCCTGCTGCTAGTAAGGTCTGGCGAACATGTGACCAGTGACCATCAATTGTCTCCAGTGAGCGAGTACTCAACTCGCATGTCAGCGTACTTCGATACGCATTCAGAACAGCTGGTTTTGTCAGTTGGCTGGTGTCAATGCGCTCACAGCGTCGTCGTGGGCGTCCGCCAAAACGCATCCGCATGTCAGCACATACAAGTGCATGATCGGTGTCCACACATGTGCTCCAAATCGAGCGACAATTCTGGATGCAGCCTCTCCAGCGGTAACTTATCGCAATGTGATCGATCTGCGTCCAAGGCTGGTTCGAGGCTGGTGGGCGCCAAGTCACCCTCCGGCGGGTGCTGTGTCGGAAATTAGTGCTCGCAAGAAATAAGCGAGCATCTTCACACAAATGAAGTAACCGCTCACCGTTATCATTACGGGAGCCTACACCGTGCTGACCGCCCAGATGCATTTCATCAGTGGACAACTTTCCAACTTGTGCGTTCATATCCCCCGCCAGCACAACAGTGTCCGTGCTTCTTCTGTGGCGAAGGAGCTGGGTCAGTTGGCGGTAGAAGTCGTTCTTTACCGAATCATCGCTACAGTTTGTGGGCGCGTAGGCAGCGATGATGAATAGACATCTATTAGTCCCGCGCGACTTCGAAGCTTTAAACGAGCCAGCCAATCGGACCGCACACATCCGGCTACTGATTGGAATCCAATCAACCAGAGCAGCTTCAGCCCGGGACTCAGGGCAATGCCAACACCGAGCTTGGCCGGTGCTCGAAGCTGCATCGTCACCGGATAGGCGCAATGAGAAAATACTGCTTGCGTCACCTGAAGGGGATCGCAGAGTGAGCACAGTGCTCGAGTCTTGCAGGCGAGTCTCTGATAAGCAGCAGATATCGATCGAGAGGGTCTCCAATGTTCGGGCAAGTGCTGCCTGTTGACCGATCTGTAGCAGTGTGCGTACATTGAGGCATGCCAATCTGAAGGAGGATCGAGGGCTCCAAATGGAAGCCGATGAACTGGATTGGACCGCTTGGTTGGACATGGGCTTGTCGACAGGAGAGGAGTGACGCTCCGCGTTCACATGTGAGTTGAAATTAGAAGGTAAATGCCTAGCAAAGCATGTTGGGGGAGGGCCAAGAATCGGGGGGTTGAAAACTGGGGGATATAAGTGAAGTTGGAAGGGACGGTAAGAGTGAAAAAGCGTAAGAGGGGGAATAAGAAGACGGGAAGGCTTGATCAGTAGCATCCAAACCCCTATCCATCCATGCTCCGCATGCAGCAGATAAGGGCCCCGGTTGATTAATGCCTCTGCGGAGGCCAGAGCATCAGCAATCCGTATTGACTAGTATGAATCATAGTATTGCGTGGGACAGGGATACAGTCAGGTTAGGTCACTCAGGACCAAGACAGGCGAACGAGTAAGGTTCTCCAACCAAAGCCTTTGGGTTCAGGGGGGAAAACCTGACCGCAAGTGCAGCAGCGTGTTGGCGTATGGGGGGCTACCAAGGAGCACCGTTTTTAAGGAATAAGGTTGCACACCCACGATCTCCAACCCCCAACCTGGCGGACCAGGAGGCCTGAGTTTAGTCCTGACGCTCTAACCATAGACCACTCTGGTATTGTAGTGACTCTGAAAGGAGTGCAAAAGCACCACCCAACGATGTAGCCAAGAGCCCACATCAGTCAAAGGGCACAGAGGCCAAGGAGAAGCGGCCAAGAGCCCACCCCATGAACCCACCCACAATCGCCCAGAGGCCCACCCAAACAACCAACCCCTGACCCCACACCAGCACCCAACCCCCCAAAACACACAACCAGCGTCCAAAACCCAGAGAAAGGCCCACCGTGCACGTTCAATGCCCCACGCAAACCAAACCCCACACCAAGGGGCACGCCGAGCCCCACCCACAGGTCAAATAGCCCCACATAGGAAAGCACCAGAAGACCCCGTAGACACCCAGACAGCAGAACCCAATCTACCCCCACGGCCCACTACAGACCCATAAATCTCAGCCGTCACTCCATGCCCAGCTCAATGGTTCCGCTGGAGGAGCACACAAACCATCGCACCCACGGTTAAGGACCAAACACCAACAAGACACACACCCACTACACAACAACAACACACAAGGAGCCCCACATCACCCAACCACCACACGACCAGGACCGAGTGGAGCCATGCACCTGCAGGAATGAGGGTGGGCCACCACACACAACACACACCACATGAGGCGAATGGAGGTGTAGGCACGGCACATCTGCATGCATCAGGCAAACACACACAACAGTAACATTCGCAGCACACACCATGGCCACATTCCAAGCTATCCACAGCATCACAGCCACCAGACCACCACACACAGCACAGGGGGCAGGCGACAGCCATGCCAGCCACGAGGGGGCGTTTACATAGGGGTGGGGCTCAGAGTCCAGGCAGCGCCATGCATGACAGGGAGTGAGGCACTAGGAGGATGCCTCTAGCGAAAAGTACATACCGTACTTTGATGCTTCAATCGCCAAGCGGTTTAATGCAAGTTGGACGACCTGTGGATCGTCACCCAGCAAGACGATATCATCAGCATAATCCAAATCAACAACTCGACTACCTGGGAGGAGCTCAACGCCAGCGTTCAACGAATCGCTCAGAGCGTTCTTCAGGACATCCTCAATGGCAAAGTTGAATAGGAACGGAGAGATAGGGCATCCTTGTCGAACTCCACTGGAGACCACAAAGGTAGGCGAAAGCATGCCATAAGCCCTAACCCTGCCCGAGGTCAGACTGTATAGAGCGCGCAGTATGGAGACGAACTTCTCGGGGACACCGTTCCTCAGAAGGCACTGCCACAGTACTGTACGATCGACAGAATCGAAGGCTGCACGGATATCCAGGAACACAGCAATCGTTGGCCTCTGATACACATGGCGGAGCTCGAGGATCTGGCGAAGTGTGAAGATTTGATCGATGCAGCCGCGACCAGGGCGAAACCCAGCTTGTTCTTCTCGTTGCAACGATTCGCGTGTTGGGGATAGCCTGCGAAGTATGATGGACA